AGACCTTATAAGATCGATGGAATTATTCAACCAGGACGCTAAAAAAACAGTTGGAAGCTATAAGAATCTCAAATTATTATTTAATTGAACTAGGATATTAGTATAAATAAGGTCAAGATTTATTATAAGAATTAATAGTATAAGTAGTTGTCATATGATAACTTAATATGATAATAATATAATTCTAATAACTTCATGCATCCAGAGTTTGCCAATCCAAAAAAAAGAGAGGAATTGCATGCATACCAAACAAATCTTATGTCTGATACTCAAACTTCAGTTTATACATGAATATTGCTTGTAGGAGATCTTAATCTATGTAATCTATGAATATTGTGTTGGTTCCAATTTAATGGATCGCTAAAGGACAAATCGAAAAATGAGATTGGACTTTTGGGAATTCTCTTTTTATTATTTTGAAGGAGTGAAAAAATACAAGTCTAGGTGTTTTACAATGCAACACAACACCTAATTTTATACTAACTAAGACATACCGAAACAAAACAGGAAAAGTACATAATAAAGGCAAGAAAATTAAGTGTCATCAATTCGCGCCTATTTGAATTGATTACACATATTTGAATTTTGAATTTGAATTTAAGATTCAAATTCAAAATTAATGATATTGTCATATCTCCTATATTTAATTCAAAATTAATGCTATGATCATATCTTCTATATTTGTTCCACTAATTAACTCATGCCTATTATGAAGCCACTAATTATGCAATCAATTCAAATTACCAATTCAAGATTAGTCTCACAGACAACCCTATTTTTATATATTTACATATCTCACATTTATATTTTGATATTTACAGAAAAAATCCCCAAAATTTTATTTTAAGGAATAAAAAAAATGTGAGCGAGGACAGTTTGGCGATATCTTACACCTAACATCAATTTTTATAAGAATAATAAGAAGGGTCATTTACATACATACCACGAAATTCTCAAGTATTTTTATATCTAACACCTAAGCTCTAATTTTTACATTTATATGTATAAATTGGAGTTTTGGGAGTTGTTGAAAAAATGACTATTATGCCCCTGTTTGATTAAGTTGTTTACAACATAACTGAAATGAGAACATGAGTATATAATATAAAACCCAGAAATCATCACAGATCAGTTCAAAAGATAACAACATACAATGCTCACATTATCGTGAGTATCAGAAGAAACAATTGGTCATCTGCAGCACAAGTCTGATCGGATTAATTAACATGTTTCTCTTAATTTATTCAAGGGGCTTTTACAAGCATATCACTCAAATATTATATATTTACATATATCTAACTTTTAATATTTATACCACTGAAATTTTTTATATCACTTTAAAAATATTATTATTTGAATTTTTAAAAAGTGAAATAAATATTTCAATATGTAGACAAAGTGTGATATATATGTGAATTAAAGTTTAGGGGTTAGATATACAAATACAATGGAAATGAGTTGTGTGAATGGAATTTTTCCCTTTCTATTACGTAATTCTTGATTGAATGCCACATGATCAATGAAGCTAATTAACGTGAAGTGATTGTTAAACCATCTCTTTGCTTAAGTACCAAGTGTGGAAAATTTTGACTGTCAAGACAATTAAGGCAGTAGAGAAAATGTGTTTGCAGACTTTTCATTTTAATATCTATTTGCTGAGATTTGACTGAGTAAATTCATATTAATGTTGATGGAATTCACCAATGGTCATGTTAATGTAGATGAATATAACTACAAGTTGGGCACTTCAACCTTAAGTTAGCTAAATAAATTCAACTTGGTAAGGAAATTTTGATGAATTTCAAAGGATGGTTGGTTAAAGAGCTATTTTCATTATTAATGACCACATCATTTTGGAAAATGAGTAAGAATTATAAATCAACTTGATTATAAAAGGAAAGAGAGGTTGCATCCAAATTGATAGTATTTAATCATCACGCCATAATGGATGAACTGATGAAGGTTATCCATGAATAAAAATTACCTCAAGTAACTTAAACTAATGAGAACTACAACACAAGTTGGAAATATAATAAAATATTATGCCTTCCACAAGAATAATAGACATGATATAAAAGAACATGTCAAACTTCCAAAATCTTATTTAGAATTGATAAAATCAAAAAAGTTAAAATAATTTACTTTAGTAGATGAGATAAGGGAAGTCATCTATGAAGGATTAAAAGAGAAACTTATACACACTGGTGCTCCACAGAATCGTACTTGCTACTATTAGAGGAACTCGAGAAAATCCTTTTCATGTAGTGTGTGATTTTAAATGCCCTCTCATGGAACGACTTAGTGGCTTAAATTTGATAAAATTTTAATTTATTATGAATTTTCAAAGTCATGATTTTATTAATAAATTGCTTATGTGGTTCAAAGTAACCACTTATCCAGATAGTCTTTGAAATCATTTTAATGATATTTTGGTTTATTTATATATTTGAAGTTATTTTGATTACTATTTAGAGAGTTTGATTTAAGTGGCAAAATACTTACCCAAGTGAGTTCAAAATTTTATAAGAAATGGGGTATTTTTGACAATTGTTTAGATGCACAAATTGCATTCATGAACTCCAGGACCCGCTTAATAACCTGTATTTGTGCACAAAAATTGGATCCTTTTCAACAACAAAAAAATAAAAAACACCCAAATCGTTTGTCCAACAAAACTCTTAATCATTATAATCATTTATTTTGATAGAGAGAAGATTATTCCTACTGATCTTATTTATAAGAATATTAATCTGTACTTCGATTTAAGTGTCAATATTTCAGACAGCTTATAAAATATTTTTTAATAAGAGTTTAATTAAGTACCAATATAATATATACTTTAATAAAATTAGAAAATATTTTATATTTTCAAATCTTATTCTTAAAATATTTGAAGTATATAATACTATTTTAAATATTTAAATTTATTGAAATTTTAATAAATAGAAAAATTTATTGAGAGTATCTTCCTTTCAAAATTCATGTTAACTCGACATACATTTTCATCTTATATAAGAACCAACATCTACCTAAACATATAAAAATAAAAAGAGAAAAAAAATTACGTGTACTTTGAAGCCTGCACGATAGTCGACATGCATTTTCTTATCATGCCATGTGCTAATTGGAAATAAAGTACGACTTGATTTGGGCTTGATTAGAGTTGGATTTGATCAACTTTGATATCATTGGGCTCATCTTGTTGAGATGTTCAGTTTGATTATAAAATTGTTGAAGTCGGAGCCCAACTGTCCTAAATTTGAATTTGAACAATCTTTCATTAAAAATGCATCAAGATTTGTGCTTAATGATAAACATTTATTTAAGACGCATCAATATATATATGATAATGAATATGTATTTTGTTAAAAATTTTTAAATAAATAAGAAAAATAATTTATCTGCATTTACTTTACAGAGAACGAAACAAGTTTAGTGATTTTGAATATACTACTTTTTTTATTTCGCTTCACATGTATATAACTAAAGATGAAAAATATTTTCACTGAATTTACTTTATAAATAACTAAACAACCAACTAGAGACATGTTACACTGTAACTATAATACATTGAATTCTATTTTACCAATCAAACATTCCCTAATACTATCAACCAAATGAATATATAATTATTTAATGGCTAAATAAATGGAGAAATAATGTGAAACGCTTGAAAGAATTTAGTGGAATTAAGAATGAGCAAATATGGAGAAAATTATATGCGGCTGTATAGTAACAATAAGGGTTTGTTTAGACAGTTGCAGTTGTTTGAAGAAACAGTTGTAAAGTTGTTGAAAAAGAAGCTATTGTTTAAAAAGTTATGTTGGTTATTAAAAAAATTATTTTTTTTTTGAAAAAAATAAACCTAATGACCCTAATCATTTGGGAGGGGGGAATAAGGAAAGTGGAGACCTAATCATTCTATTTTTTTATCGAAGAAGTACAGAACAGTTTGGCTGCAAATAGGATTTAATTAGAATTTAATAAATTTTTTAAATTTGTAGTCACTAAATCTCATGCGAGTTAATCTTAAAAATAATTTGATATGATATTTAATTAAATTCAAGTAAGGAACGAGCTATCTATCAAGTTACAATAGTTCATTATGCTAGATAGCCTAGTCCAACTGCTCATTTAGCAATTGAGGGTTGATAAACATACTAGAGCAACTAATTGGCTAAATTTAAATTACTGTTTCAATCATGACCACCAGATGCTAATCAAGACTAGTTTATCTGCTCCACAACTCAGTCTAGCCGATAGAACTGGCCTTACCGAGCCAAAGTAACGTTAACTCAACTAACCAAGTCATATGATTGTTTACCAATAAACACATACATGTAAAATATCTAGAATATCGTGCACATTCAGAGACAAAATGTAATATCACATATTGTATCATCTCTTTTATAAATAGGGAGATCATTTTATGAGAAAAGAATAATATATATTGTTTTACCGTTAATTACTATTAATTACTCTCTGTCTCTCTTCACTTTCTTGTTCTCTAACTCTTGGGGTGTGAATCAAGGATAAATCAGGATTCAATAGCACTAAAGTTTTATAAATGTATATATAACACCTTAGGTGTTGGATATTTAAAACATAAAAATGTGTGTTATATAGGCTAATTTGAATTAAATTAATTAAGTTATATTTAGTCTAATTATCCTGATTAATAAATAAATTAATTAGTGATCTAATATACATATGAAATAATATTGATTAAATTTGTACCAATATTATTTTTTTAATTAAAATATATTTAATTGAGAATAATATCTTAATTACTTTCTAATTAATAATTTATAAAACTAATTAAATCTAATATTTTTTAAATTAATTTTATTTTAGCTGATAATATCAATCATTAAAATTAAAATTAAAATTAAAATTAAAATTAAAATTAAATTAATTAATAACTTAAAATATTTTATGGGGGTATCACCGAAAACATTCTATTTTACTTATTTCACACCTAAGTTTCTAATATTGCCATGTTCAACGTCAGCTTCTTTTCTGCAGCGGCCCGTCGTAGAGAGAAAGTCATAGCCGTTGAACATGGCTCAACCGTGGGTCGCAATGGTTGGATGATTCCAATCTAGAAATGCAATGCTCTTACAAGTGCTTGATTGGCTATTTAGAGCGGTCATCCTACAAACTATATAAGGGCTTTTCTACTTCGCTCCAATCCATGGATTCTCTGGCCTACTCTGATTTTCTTCAATCTTTTACTGATACTCGGTCTCTCGCTCTTGGCAAATCCATTCACTCCCACATGCTGCGAAACCATGTCAAGCAAAATCTTTTTCTCCAGAACAATCTTCTTAACATGTACTGCAAGTGTGGAGACATGAACCATGCCCATAAGCTGTTCGATGCAATTCCCAGCAAAGACATTGTGTCATGGAATGTGCTTGTCTCTGGATATTTCCAATCAGGTTGCAGTGATGAGGCCATAAATGTCTTCAAAGCTGCCAGGACAAATCAAGTTAGCCTCGACCGCTTCGCTTATGCAGGTGCACTTAGCATCTGTTCTCGAACAGGAAACCTGAGCTTTGGGAAGGCAGTGCATGGCCTTGTTGTTGTAGGTGGGTTCACAAAGCATGCTTTTCTTACAAATTCACTTTTGGACATGTACTCAAAGTGTGGTCAGATTGATGAAGTGTGGCGTGTCTTTGATTATTCAGATCATTTAGACGATGTATCATGGAATTCATTGATTTCAGCACATCTTAAGATTGGTTTGATCTTTGAAACTCTAAGAATTTTTGCTCAAATGCATTTATTGAGGTGGAAAATCAATTGCTTTGCAGTTGGAAGCATTCTCAAGTGCTGTTCATACTCAAACGAGTTGCTTGAGTTTGGTAAAATGGTTCATAGCTCTGTAATTAAAGCTGGATTGGATAACGATGTTTTTGTGGGAAGTGCCATGATTGACATGTATGCTAAGAACGGTGTATTGGAGGAAGCAATTAATGTCTTTAAGGCCGTGGCCAATCCTAATGTTGTTGTATTCAATGCAATGATTTCTGGGTTTTGTCAGTTGAAGATGGAATCACATGATGAGCTTGCGGGCAAATCATTGGTCTTATACTCTGATATGCGAAGGACAGGAATGATGCCATCAAAGTTTACTTTCTCTACCATTTTGAGAGCTTGTAATCTAACTGATTCATTTGAGCTTGGGAAGCAAATCCATGCTCAAGTTTATAAATGTGCTCTCCAATTTGATGAATTCATAGGGAGCGCACTAATAGACTTGTATTCTATTTCGGGATCTATTGAAGATGGACTTTGTTGCTTTCATTCTATGCCTAAACAAGATATTGTTACCTGGACGTCAATGATTTCGGGCTATATTCAGAATGAGTGCTTCGAAAGGGCACTGAGCTTGTTTGACAATCTATTGACAGTTGGAAGAAAGCCAGATGAGTTCACTCTATCAAGTGTTATGAGTGCTTGTGCAAACTTGGCCATATCAAGGTCAGGTCAACAAATTCAAAGTTATGTGACCAAAGCTGGATTTGATCAATATACAATTTGTGGCAATGCACAAATCTTTATGTATGCAAGATCAGGTGATATTGAAGCCGCCAGTAAAACTTTTTATGAGATGGATAATCATGATGTGGTGTCATGGTCTGCAATGATCTCTTGCCATGCTCAGCATGGTTGTGCTAATGATGCCATTGCCCTTTTTAGTGAGATGAAAAACTGTGGAGTTGCTCCTAATGACATCACTTTTCTTGGTGTTCTTACTGCCTGCAGCCATGGAGGCTTAGTGGATGAAGGATTCAGGTAAAATCCTCAACTTCTATATTATGAACAACAAAAACATGATTTGAACTCGGCATGCTTCTTGGTCGGTCCTGAATTGTTCTGGCAATTCAGATTTGAGTATTATATACCAAATGATTTTTAGCACTCAAGTTTCAATTTTGTTCATTATAATCCTTTTTTTCTGAAGTAAAATAATATCATCTACAATACCCATATAAGCAATCTATTTTTTATTTTTTTTATTTAAACGTGAAAGTGTTCGATCGGTATTTTTCTTTTATACTCACAAAATTTGTACTGAATTGAGTGTACATTATGTAGAACTATTGTCAAGCGTCATGCTTTTATTATAAATTATTTGCTTAAAATGGGAACTTTAAAATCTATTTTGGCTTTTAATGATCTTTTTTAATTCTTAAATTATGAAAATCTTTTTTTAGACATTAAAAGTATTTGCATGAGACAATCTATCAACTAAATTAATTTTCATATATTTAATTAGGAGATTAGTGTGATGCCTTGGCATGATGTAATGCTAGTTAGCGTTTCTTTTTTTTTTTGGCATCCCCAAATTAAGGTGTAATTTAGGAATAGATGACTCATGTGACAAAATCCCTTGTACCTAGAGTGAAAGATGTGACAAGAAATTATTTGTTGTTTTTAAATTCTTAACAAGAATGAATGAAGAGGATTCTTAAAGCCAAATGTTGAACACTTAATAGATAGTGTAATATTAATAATCATGATGATGTTTATTCAAAGGTAATTGTAGGGATATATGCTCTGAGAAAATAAATAAATATTTTTAGAATAGTAGCTAGTGAAGTTCATCTGTTTATTTTTGAAATTTATCTTAAAGTATATGTGGTATAAAAAGATCCTAGAAGTTCGGGATTGAAATGCAGAGCATTATATAAATAATTTGAAGTAAGATAAATGCCCCTTATTGCCTTCGATACTAGTTAAAATAAGTAACTTAATTTTACAACATTGATATTTCCATTTGGCCTAGACTTTGGTCAGTCCATTTGTTTGGAATTCAGATTATTGGCCCGTAATTTAATATAAAATGGATTGAATTTGCGTAAGTACATACCTTGTGCTCTATTGCAAACCGATGCAATAAATAAGAAGGAAAGATTAAGCCTTCATTTGCAGCACAAGAGATTAGAGAAATAACTTCTTCCTTGATATTAATCAGGATTTCTCAGAACCTATAATTTGTAATGATGTTAAACTAATTATTGGCAATATTATAAATTTAACGTATTTTTTGAATTAATAAAAATTTGTTTCAGTTTTAATTCTCAACTTTTGAATGCGATTTTTCTATTCTCATAGAGCTTCACCTAAATTATTTTCTTTTTCTTATTTATTTTCCAAACCTATATTGTGCATAGCAGCAGATGTATACTGGAAACATTTTACCATCATACCCTAGCCAATTCATGAAGGACCTTTTTCATGCTTTTTTTTATTTTAGGTACTTTGAAAACATGAAAAGGGAATATGGAATTGTACCTAATATGAAGCACTGTGCTTGCCTTGTGGATCTCTTTGGTCGATCTGGGAGACTTGATAAGGCTGAGAAATTCATAATGAATTCAGGCTTTCAAGATGACCCCATTGTATGGCGATCATTGTTGAGCTCCTGCAGAATACATCATGACACTGAAAGAGGCAAACATGTGGCAGAGAGGATTATGGAGCTTGATCCTTATGCTTCTGCAACTTATGTCATTCTCTACAATATGTACTTAGATTCTGGTAGACGGTCTATGGCTTTAAGAACAAGAAAGCTGATGAAAGAACGAGGGGTGAAAAAGGAACCTGGACTTAGTTGGATAGAGGTGGGAGGTTCTATTCATTCTTTCGTAGCAGGTGACAAGACCCATCCCAGGAGCCAGGAAATATATGCACGACTGGAGGAGATGATTTCGAGTATAGAGAAGCTGGGATATATAAGTGTAACTACAGAGCCAGGTGACTTAGATTTAGAGCAAAAGGTAAATTTGTTAAACTGCCATAGTGAGAAGTTGGCTGTGGCATTTGGAATATTATCATTGCCAAAAGCAGCTCCTATCAGGGTGATGAAAAATTTGAGGGTGTGTGTGGATTGCCACACAATTATGAAGTTGATCTCGGCAGTTGAAGGAAGAGAGATTGTGCTAAGGGATCCTATTCGATTTCATCGGTATAGAGATGGTTCATGCTCTTGTGGTGACTATTGGTAGCTTGATAGTGACATGGGTGATACGTTATATCCCATGTTATTATGCCTTAAGTTCCACCAAATGGAGAAGGTACGGGCCGGAAAATCTGCAAGCCCGTTGCAATTTATTACATACATGATGTTAATCCTGATTCTCCAACTTCTAAGCAGAATGGTTTTTATCAACAACCGAGTTGTTAATAGAGATGGCTGAAATCTTTCAACAGAATTAGCATGCAAAGCTTGATTGAGATTTCATTGGACCATAAATTATCATTATGATATTCTGATCATATAATGTACTTTCAGATGCTATTAGAGATGTTTCTGAAACGTATTTACACGACATAGGAAAAAAATAAAAAGGTATTGAATGACTTTGATTTATATTTTCTCTTCCTTTTGTTAAAAAATCATTATTATTGAATTTGTTGCAAATGGCAGTATGATTTGTTTGTTTCATCTTATACCCTTGCTTGCAACAAGCTTAACACCTAATTTGCTGATGTTATTCACGGCAAATGATCAGGTATAACATGTGCAATACCATGGCAATCTTTTGTAAATGATACTGACACTCAAATTTTTATTTTTATGTTTCAACGTATGATCTCATTTGTCCTCTTCTAATTGATTATGATATCTTATTATAAGCAAGATGCCAGAATCAACTCTTGAGAGGCAAATGTTGGATTGCCGTTTCTTATCTTGTTTTGACCATTTTTTTGTGCTCATCTTTCTTCTTCTTTGAATGGAAACATTAAGTTTTAATCAACTGAGAATGTTGAATTATGCCTTGTCAATTTCCTGTATGTTGAGAATTTTAGGGCAAAGAAAAACAAGAATCGACTCAAATCTAGAAGAAAACACAAAGGTTTAACGAGGTTCGACAAAGATGCCTACTTTCTCGCGAGTAGAGCGGCGACTTTTCTTTCAATTCCAGAAAGAGTACAAGATACCTAGGGTTACAAACAAGACATATATATATAACCTTGACGTACAATATGTAATTATAAAATTGCCCGTACTCCGTCCCGTTGGGGCGTTGCCCCCGCATCCCAACCCACATTGACCATTTTTTTGTGCTCATCTTTCTTCTTCTTTGAATGGAAACATTAAGTTTTAATCAACTGAGAATGTTGAATTATGTCTCTTTCCGTTCTGCTCCAGCATTTCTCCCTTATCTTGTATATGAGTCATATCTAACAAATCTCCACCTTGGCAAATATTCAGCCCTTCAGGAGAAAGATACCCGTGAGTTTCATATGCACTAAAGTGGGTTGGGCTACCATGCTTCTCTAGCAACTGTGAATATTCAACAAGTCCAAGCAATGCAAGAACTTGTTGCTAGTAACTGGCATGGTCAACATATTAGTTGAACATTAATATGAAGTTTCTGCAACACTATCTCACCAGAAGCAATCAATTCTCTGATCTTGTGATACCTGACATCAATATGCTTAGTTCTCGCATGGTACGCATGGTTCTTAGCCAGATAAATAACACTTTGACTATCACAATGCAACTGAACTCCGCCTTACTCAACACCCAATTCTTTTACTAGCCCAGTACGCCATAAGGTCGAGCGGAAGGTCGTGACTTCCCGCGATCGGGAACAGGGAGGCGGGATTGGGCTTCAGCGCTAACACCATTGCTAGTCCTCTAGGAGAGTCAGTAGGAAAGTCTTGTGGCTAGATCTTAAGTTCTAGGAGAAGAATTTTGACCTCACCAAAAATGAGGTCAACAATTTCACAGGTTCATTTTGATGCTGAAGAAGGCTCGGGAAAATAGAAAACAAGAAAGAATATTTATCTGGAAATACCACAAGAGCTCCTGTGTTGGTGTGAAATATCACTGTTCCTGATATATGTTTCATATGCACTAGTTTATGTGATTCTTCCTGCTTGGCTGTTCCCAAAGAAAATAATTAGAGATGCCAAATGCTTTGTTTGTTAAAGTCATTTGTATATTTATCAGCAATTTCATTTCTGTTCAGATTGGAATGAACTGGCTTCACACCTTGCAGGCTCCTTTCACAAATTTGTCTCTGGATGCTGTGAAAGAGAGGTGGATGGAAATGTTTAAACAATGGAAGCAGAAAATTATCCAAATGAAGGAGCGATTTTTCAATATTATGAGACTTATGGAAACATGTGTTCAGAGGCTGGACAGTGTCTAGGCTAATAGGCTATGATATGGCTTTTGTACTTGTATGGTGAGAAACCGTATTGCTAAATATTCGTTTGGCTACACAAAGAAAGTGCATCGGCTCCATTTCAATTACTCAAGGTTTTTTGTGTTAGATGATAAGTTTCTCAACCAACCTCTCGGGGGATTCTAACTAACTCTAGAATTTTCTACTTTACTCTATATATAGTGCCAGTTTTACATGTCAAGGCTTCTTGATGAATATTGAATTTATTCGTTTCATCTCTGTTATGTTTCTAGCTCCTATTTCTATCTCTTGCAAATCTCTGTAATTTGCAGCTATCAAAGTTCTTATAATTTTTATATTGATTGGAATAAGAAAGAGAAAAATTCCAAATCTTTGGTGGACATTTTAACAGTATGGCTACAAATTTTGCAACAGTTTGCCCGATATGTTCTGGATGAAAGCCATGATAGACGGCCATGGAGAAGCAAAATTCGATTGGAACTGATGGGACTGATTAAATCCATAAACTGACGGTATTTACCCTATTAGTCCTGAATGCTTGTTTGAAATCACACATCATTTTTTTTTTGGCTTCTTTTAGTGTACCACTTTTAAATGCTGCTTTAGTTCAAAAAAGTTGATTGAGCTGGCATATGTTGATTCAATTGATTGGATTACTTAATTGCTTTAGCTCAGTTTATGATGTTTATGAGATAAGATATGGCTTTATTATTATTTTTTTAACCATGAAATTTTTATTGTGAATCTTGCTCATCTCTTGGCTCATCTTTGAATTTCAATTCTATATGTTATATTTGGAGGTGTGCAGTTCATACCACCTAAAGCTTGGTCGCAGTGATAAGCATCACCTGTGATATTTGTGGACTCCACACTTTGGGATTACCTAAATCTGTTTATATGTTCATAGGAATGAGTTGTTAACTTCATTTAAATGGACTTGAGTGCTATTCCCAGTTATTCGAAACGTGGAAAATAAAGAAAATAGCAAGTTCATCTTGTCTTTAGCAATAAAGAAAACTAATATTTCTTAAGACTCAAAACAACAAGTTGCTTGCTATGCCAACATGAAAATAGACCAAAAATAAGAAACTTGACAATCATCAAAGGAAAATAAGTTTGCTTAATGTCCAATGGAGGACAATCAGCCAAGTGGGAAGTAGGATGCTTAATGCCCTATAGAGGACAGCTGAAAGCAAAGAGAGAAAATGCTATTCATAATAAGAAAACTTAATCGAATGAACCTTAGTTTGATTAATATGCTATTAGGGATTCTTTTAAAGGAATTCTTATATTTCCTTATAAGCATTCTGACTTTTAATTGTGGTCAAACATAAAACAGTTGAAAAGCTGACTATGAATGGAAAACAAAATTTAATTTCTGATACAAGTTTTGATCTCTTGAGAAAATGCATAAGAATTTATGTGATACCTTGTAATTTATTAAATGTAAGAAGTAAATTTTCAATGTCAGATATGTAAATATGTAGGAATTGAGGGTTACGTGACATGCGCGCACACACTTTTGAGCTTCTTTCAGTGGGGCCGCTTGCGTTCTCCATCGCTTACCAATTCATTGACACAATTTAAAGCTTGTGATGTTCAAAGACCTTTAATTTTCGAAAGGTTTGTACAATTGTACTCCACAATAGCTACATATGCAATGTCCCAAAAACATCATCATTATTTCTCCACGTCTCACACCATTCCCCCGTTCACACTTTGAAACACTTTTTTTTGGCACTTTTTTGTGCTTCATATAGATAATTACAATTGATACATCATTATCAAATTATCATCACCCGACACAAATCTTAAGGCATGACATTGATCTTGAGGCCATCTCTTGATATTTTAATCAAAAGTCATCTTAAGCTCCGATTTCAGCAAACTTATAGTCAAACTGACAAGCTCGATGAGACGGACCCAATGGTGCCAACATTTGTCCAATCCAAGTCAAATTAAGCTCAGATCAAGTCATTAAACCATTTTTAGAAGTTTTTTAGACACGTTTGAAAGATCAAACGAATGTCAAATCTAACAAGCATATAGTCAAATTGAGTGTCTCGACAAGAAGAATTCAGCTAGCCCAATATCACTCAATTTTGATATTATTAAGATAGTTAAATGTCTATCAAATGTTATGTGATTGAAAGAAACTCTCCGGACCGTTCAATCAAAGTAGTTCATATTCCTGCATCAATTGCACTCTAAACACTATAAATAGAGTGTCACCCCTCTCATATGAGGGGAGAGGAGCTTAAAAAAGCTCGTTGTTCGCGAACAATTCGTGTTCGGTTCGTTAGTGAGTTCGTGTTCGATTCGTTCGATAAGTAAACGAGACGAACACGAATAAATTTTTTTTTCGTTCAGTTAGTTAAAAGAACCAAACACGAACAGTATTGCGTTCGTTCGTGTTCAAATCGTTATTGTTCGAAATATAAAATAATTTAAAATAATTATATATAAAAAATTTATGATATTTTAAATACTATATTAGTAATATACTAATATAGATATTATATATTTATTTAATATAAGTTATATAATTAATATAATATATTATTTATATATATTAATATTAAAGATGTCAAACTGGCTCGTCGTTCGTGAACAGCTCGTGTTCGACTCGTTCGTTAAGAAACAAACATGAACAGTGACTTCGTGAACAATTTCGAACACAAGCTTATTTCAAACACATAAAATTTCAAACGAATCGAACACGAACACAAGCTTTGTTCGTTCGTGTTCGGTTGGTTTATACCCCTACTTGAGGCTTGCGGAAATGCTTGAAGCTTTGAGAAGAAGTCTAGCACCACCCCTACTGCAGTCGACCACCGCCAACCGTTGTCGACTATCGCCAACCATTGTCGGCTTTCGTCAATCACCGTCGACCACCGTTGACCACCACCGATCAGACGTTGCCAATTTCTGTCAGTCGCTGCATGTTCGCAACAACAAATTCATCAACTTGTCGACGTTGTAATTGGGAAATCTAGTAACCCTTTTTTTGTGGGATAAGTGGTTATAACTATAATCATTTTTTTATAGTGAAATTCCTCAGCTGAGTCAGATCTCGTAGTTTTTTCCTTTTCGGATTTTCCACATAAAAATTTTTTGTGTCACTATTAGTTGTTTTCTCTCATTTGAATTTGTGTTGAATCTTCATGTCACATTAATACAATAATCTGCTACTTTATTACTGCGAATTTTCTAGCTCGCATCAATAATTAAGCGCTATCAGCTGGGTACATATCAACCGATCTACCAAGTAGCCATTTTTTTTATTCAAAATTTATTAATATAAAGCTTTGCTAAGTTGAATCTTGTTAGGCTATTGTTTTAATCAGCTTTTATGAATATCTGATTATTGGTCATTTTTTTATGACTAAAAATGGAATGCAATGTCAAATCCACTGCATTATTATTATTATTATTATTATTATTATTATTATTATTATTGTTATTGATTGGGGTGCCCCTTTGTCATAAAATTAATGAATAATTTATGCCATCATTGGTACATAATTATTTGTGTCAAGTTAGCCGTATCGTCAGGGAAGTTGAGATGTAGTTGAATAAGGCAATTTAATACTTGCCCAGAATTTCTACTCGCATCGGACCATTGCTCTTCGAAATGTCATGAAAACATAATCTTTGGTCCCTCAACAACATGACTTGCTTGTACATCTACACTCCTCGTTTGAATTACTCGCTTGTGGGTAAACCCTAAACCCTAAACTACATAACAAGTTGAGATGTAGTTCTGATTGAAAATAATTTTATAGGAGCACCTAACTTTCATATTTATATACATAACATTTTAATCTTTACCATCTTATAAAAATGTCACTGTTATTTTTCTTAAAAGGTGAAATATACATTTTCATTACAGCCTTATGACATCAAATTGTTATAAATAAAAATATAAAATTTTAGGTCTTAGATATGTTAATACATAAGAATTGTGTGTTGTGGCATGTATGTAAACTTCCAATAAAAAAAAAAAATAGAAGCCAAGGCCCCCCCCACACTGAGAATTATTCATAGACAAGTTTCTTGAAACATTGCTTTCAAATGAAATATGTGGGCATGAGATGAGATAATCCCATACGTCTGACTCTCTTATTATCCTTTTTCTTTTATTTTTATTTTTAATTTTGCTTATTAGAATGTTGGATCGTTATAATATATTCAACTTCTACTATATTTAAAAAACCCTTTTAATTTCAATAGTTATAAATGCTATTACCAAAAATTGAATTCTACAATAGCATCCTACAGCTTATTGAATAAGATGCTGATAAGCTAATTAAAATAATCTGCTGATAAATTAAGTGCAGCGGCTATTACAAATTTTTATTTTTTATTTTGGAAAAATCATACCGCAGCCAAAAAGCTGTCACCGCACCTAGATAGGTGCGGTGTAAAAAGTATAACCCGCCAAAACACAGTTTATTCGAACATGTCTGGTGCGTTTTCTAAACACCACCTCACCAAATAATCTGCCCCAAACTGGCCCTAAAGCGAGCTACCACTTTAAGCTGTGAACCTTCGCTCCAAAATCAAATTTCACTGTAAGACAAGCTCCCTCGTTTATCTTTTGCTAAAATCTCATCAAGTAGCTTCCCCTTCACCTCCATAGCTTCCCCTTCACCTTAATAAAAGAGCTAGTCCATGACAAGTTTCCGACTTTTTGATTGCCAATAAAAATACATTTTTTAATTTATGATTATATGTGAATATATTTCAATATTTTAAAATTAGGACAAGCTATTTGATAGAATCAATAATTATGCTTTTTCATCCAAATTCAGACTTAAGATGAACATTTAAAGGCATTATATTTGTCAAATATTAACATAAACTCCCTTTAACTCTCCCCATGTAAATATTTAACTTGAATTCTTCATAAATATCTCTAAAAGGGAATCATGAACTACACTTAAAAGTAACTCCAAAAAGTTAATTCCAAACATTACTCATCAAAGATGTAGCAAATTCTCAACTATGTGAAGCCATTAAAACACTTCAATACCTATGTATTTACACTAAAACAAATTCGTATATCTAATGTCTAATATATTTAGAAAACTCAACATTTCTCTATTATATAAAAAAATATCACTATTATAAATATTTAGAGAGTGAGATACATATTTTTCTTTATAGATAAAGTCTTATAAATGTAAAAATCAAAATGTTGAAATCAAATATGCAAATACAAAAAAAAATATCTCGTATAGATACGAGTTTCCTACAATGATTTTCTCAAATAATAAACAAAAAGTTGGAATGATAATATTTTTGGACTTCCCTACTATGTAAAATTTGGATGATGATAATTTTTAAAAATAATACGAACATTTATGATTAACTTCAACTCCGAAATATATTAAAAGTACATAAAAGTATGATAAAATAGTTTAAAAAATAAAATTTGAAGAACACTCAATTAATAATATTGAGTTTAAGAAAAAAAAATTAAAAAAAGAAACGAAATCTAGTTCTTTTTTATTGGTACATATATATCACACAATTCTTATGTATTTACATGTTTAACGCCTAAACATCTATAGTTACATATATCATATCACATTAAAGAAATTATAATCATTATATTTTTAAAGGTGAAATACAAAATTTTCATGCATGGATTTATAACAACAAGATGTCAAACATACATACCTCAATTCATACAAAATTTACGTATTTAATACCAAAAAATTATTATTTACATACATAACACTCAAATCTTTAACATTACATTAAAAAATCACTATTATTAAAAAATCACTATTATTAATTTTTTAAAACGAAATACATATTTTTGTTATAACACCCGCGTTGTAAATGTAAATATTGAAGTTGAGATGTTAGATATGTAAATGCCTAAGAATTGTATGACATGCATTTAAAATTTCCTAAATATAAATAACAAATTTTATGTGTGAGATATGTAAATACATAGAAATTTTGTGATGTGTACGCAAATTTCCCTTTTCTTCTATTTTTTTTATGCGGGATAAAACCTTGCCTCATCACCACGATCTAACGGCTATATTGGATGTATAGGTAACGTCCAACTCGCTTTATGAGGATGGCCAGGATCTCCCGTCGGAGGGTATTTTCGTCAGAAGACATAAAAGCGAAAGGCGTCTTTTAAATTATTTTGGTAAAATTATAAAGTATAAATCAGTATTAAATAAATTACTGTAACTATTTTATTTTAATTAGATTAGAAAAATAGGTTAATTTTTTTTATATATGTTGGAAAATGGGAGAGGGATCCGTACGTGCTTTGCCTTCCCTTCGTTGCCCCCTTCCCTTCCCACCATTCGTCACCTAATTTTCTATCTCTCTCTCTCTAACGCCCGTGTTCGATTGGATGGAGGCGGCGGGTGGTGTGGATATGCCGGAGGCTGGCCGCGCCAACGCCATCGCGCTGGATTTCTCGGCGGGGGAGCCTTCTTCCTCGACGCCAACGAAGGTGCCGAGGAGGATCCGGAGGAGGCTGCTTGAGTGCAGGAGTAGCCCGCCTTCGAGCGTGGATGAGATCGAGGCGAAGCTGAAGGAAGCGGAACTCCGTAGGCGGGTGTGCTTCTTATGATACTTCCGCTTGTTTGTTTCCTGGGTTGTTGTTGACTTGGTGTTGGAACTTGGACGTGGTCTATTTGGAATTTGATGATTTTTTTTTTATTTTTTGGTTTGTCGGTGTTTTCATCTTCAGATTCTTTTCTGTTTTAGGTTTTTTCTTATTTGTCTTTCGCTTTATGCGGTAGTTAATCGTTGGATGAAAGCCTTACTCTTTTTTCTTGACTGCTCTAGAGGAAATTGCAACTTTTCTGAGATCGGCTCGGTGATTTATTACGCTTTTGGTGCTAGCATTCGTAATTTTTCTTTCTTGTGTTCAGTTCAGTTCTGCTTTTCGTTTCTTTATACTTTGTATGGAGTTCTTGATACTCGATTTGGAGTTTTATGTAGGGTTCTTATCTCTATTCTGCCAATGAATCTTTCCATGTATGTAAAGAAGGGTTAACTAGTATTGACAAGTTAAAGTTCTGTTTTCAGGTTTCTTATATGGGTTTAGGGAGAATTATTTTTTCTGTGGAGAATTATTATTCATACTACTGGGTTATCGTATTCTTTTGAATTATGCTTGGAACAAAATTGGCTATTGTGCTGCTTCTATGGGTTTTCTGGTGATTGATCTTCATTTGGATTGCATATAGGATGCAACCTACAGATTTACATGCAAGAAGATGACTAATGGGTTTTAATCTGTCAAGAATTGTGTTTGGGCTATTGTGCAAGTTAATATTTTCTCTTTCTCAGAATTACTTAGTTGCAGATGAACCTATTTGTTTTATTGTGCGAGTTGTTTCATTTGTGTAGTTTGTTTAGAGTTGTGTTTGGGCTATTGTTCAAGTTAACTTTTTTCACAAAGTTAATTAGTTGCACATGACCCTATATTTATACTTGCAGAAGGTAATAGTGTTTGTGGAGTTTCTTTTTTAAAGTGGTTGTCCAAGCTATTTTATCAATATGGAGTTCTGCGAATTTGTTTGATGGGCTTTGGTGATTCAATACCATTCCTTTTTCTGTTTCATGCATCAGCAAGCACTAGTTCTATGTGAATTATTTTTAGTTGTTAATGCTCCTGTATTTTGTTAATCTTCTACTTTCTCTCCCTCAGTAATATATTTCGCATGTTAACTTGTACTATTTTCATAGCAATTTCATGAGTGGCTGTCTAGCAAAGCTAGGCCAAAACCAAGGAGTCCGTCATGGTCATCTCAAGAAGATCTTGGCCAGCGGCTAGAGGCAAAGCTTAATGCAGCCGAGCAAAAAAGGTTAAATACATACGGATTATCTATTATATTTGAACATCTGTGTTGTCTTTAGTTTTTTCCAGGGTTGTATACAATTTGATAACTTGTTAGGTTTTTTGTTATTGATTTCCTATCACTTATAAGTATAATGGTGTTTGTTGATGGCCCTAATGTTCAGTTATTTTGTTTTATTCAGATAATAGTTGGGGCTATGATTCAAAATGCAATTCTATCATTCATTTACTGAAATTTTGATGATTGAGATATGAATCTTCCCTATATTCATAGAAAATTGTAAGGGATTATGTTAGCATTTCAATCAATATTAAGGGGCTTGATTGTATCTACAATATGTATTTACAATACCTCATGACTGTTTGAGAAGGCAATACATATGTTGAGCCTAAATACCATGTCATTTAAGTTAAAATGCATCAGGAATTGAGGTTGGTAATCAAAATAATTTGATTCAATTCTCTAGTATTGATATATATTCTATGATATAAGCCCATGCCTGTTATGGAAATGCTAGAACTTTCATTTCCTCTTTTTCTACTTATTAACCATAATGATTTTTTCTAGCTGAAGTATTTGCTTTCAGTTCTAGTTAGTCTATTAAATGATATGAATCCGTTTTAGTTTTGTTCAATATAGTATTGTGAATGCTATTCTCATTTTGAAGAAATTGTATATATATTTTATAGGTTAAATCTTCTAGCAAATGCACAAATGCGTTTAGCTCGTCTGGATGAGCTACGTCAAGCTGCTAAATGTGGTGCAGAAATGCGTTTTGAAAAGCAACGCGAAGAGTTGGGTTCGAGGGTAGAATTCCGGGTGCAGCAGGCTGAGGCAAATCGGATGCAACTTCATAAAGCTCATATGCAAAAACGTGCTGCAGTCAAAGAAAGGAAAGCAAGATCTTTGTTGCAGAGAACTGCAAGAGAGAATACTTACAAAGAGAGCATTCGCTCAGCAATCTCACAAAAGCGATCTGCTGCTGAGAGGAAGCGGATGGTGCTACTGGAAGCAGAGAAGTCGCGAGCACAAGCTAGAGTAATGCAAGCTCGCAAGATTGCCAAGATTGTATGCTGTCGAAGAGAAAGTGAGAGCAGAAAAAAGAAAGAGCAGCTAGAAAGTCGTCTCCAGAGGGTATGAATATGGTTGTTAGAAGTATTGGTTTATCTGTTTGTTTCTCATGTTTTTTTGTTTCTTTAACTATTTTTTGCAGATATGATCTTGCCCAGCATCCTGCTATCATTGAGTTTTCTCTTTGATAGTTGCGTTGGAATTTGTATTCAAAACTTTGTACAGTCATGTGGATGATTTTTTTTTTTAATCTTTTCTCTCTGATGTTTTGTTCCTCCTTTGAGATATTCATTTAAATTTGTGCTCATTGGACCAATAATGATGGCTTGCAGGCAAAACGACAGCGAGCAGAGCTCTTACAAATGAAAAGTAATGCCCATAATACTGCTGCTCATGTAAATTTGATGAAGTATGGCGACCTTCTTTCAAGAAAGTTAGCTTGGTGAGGCTATTGGATATATGTTTGCTCTAGAATTTCTTTTGTCGGTTCCAATTTTTTCTCATGTTTGAGTGGGCCATTCAGGTGCTGGAGACAGTTTGTGAAATGTAAAAGAACTACATTTGCTTTAGCTCAAGAATACATGACACTGGGTATCAATGAGAAGTCTGTTAAGTCTATGCCTTTTGAGCAGCTTGCCCATCTTATAGAATCAACCACTACACTTCAGACTGCTAGAGCTTTACTTGATCGTTTTGAAAGCCGTTTCTTCCTCCATCAGCCATCTAGTTCTTCTAGCCCTGAAAATATAGATCATCTGCTTAAGCGCTTATCATCTCCAAGGAAAAGGTCGCCTCCAGGTAAAAGGAGTAGAGCCAAGGATGATAAATGCTCCTCTGGTGTTTCAAGTTCTGGAGCAGGTAAATTGTCCAGGTATCCAGTGAGGGCAGTTCTGTGCGCTTATATGATTTTGGGGCATCCAAATGCTGTTTTCAGTGAACACGGTGAGCGTGAAGTGGCACTTTCTAGGGCAGCTGTAGACTTGACTCGAGAGTTTGAGTTGTTAATCAAGGTCATCTTGGATGGTGCTAATAGTGTTCTTATGCTGAAGCATCCATCACCGGGTGTTCTTTTTCATGATTCAGAGACTCATAAACAATCCGCCACTCAATCTCAGTCAGAAAAAACCTTCAAAAACCAGCTGTCAATTTTTGACGCTGTGTGGCGTTCTTATCTCTATTGCTTTGTTGTTTGGAAAGTTAAAGATGCTCGATTGCTGGAAGATGATCTCGTCAGAGCAGCTTGCCAACTTGAACTATCAATGATGCAAACCTGCAAGCTAACTTTTGAAGGAGAGACACATAATCTAAGCTATGACATGAGGGCTATTCAAAAACAGGTACTTATTTGACTACTAAAGTTTCTAAATTGGATCATTTTGTTTTTAGTCTCCTTGTTATTTGACTGGATTTATTAAATTGGATCATTTTGCTTTTAATCTCTTTATTGTGATTACAAGAAATTCAACCACCATCACCGTTTTTAGGTTTTTTGTTGTCCTTACGATTAATGACCACGCTCTTTCTTCTTAACTTCACTTTATCAGAGGTGGGAGGAAGAAAGGGGAAATAAAAAAAAAAGATGAATTCATTTCTTATGTAGGTGGTTTTATAGATGTACAATAGTGGTCGTAAGACAAACACAATGTGTAGTTGTGAAACATGGTGTAGAAGTGTGGCTACTGATTGGGGTGATATTGGCTAGATTTCATGTGTGTTGCCAAAGGCAAGAGTGATGCAATGGAGGTGACTGAGCCTAGAGGAGATTGACTTTCACACCAACTAAGGAACCAGAGGAGAGTAACAGATGATCCAACCTTATATTCGAGGGCAATGTATAAAAGGACAAAAGCTGACTGCTCTCAAGTTAGGCAATTTATTAGAGGCATGGAAGAGGTCAAGTGTGGGGTTGGTGGTTTTTTACATTGATAATGGTGGTCGTAGGGTGTAAGGTGTAGCTGTAATGTATATTGTATAAGTGTGGCTACTGATTGGGGTAATTGTGACTAGATTTCATGTGGGATGCCAAAAACAGGGGTGATGCAGTGGAGGTACTTGAGCGTAGAGGTGATTGGCTTTTAAATCAACTAATGAAATAGAGTTGAGTAGCAGGCAATCCAGCCTTATTGTCGAGGGCAATATATCAACAGACAAAAACTAGTTGCTCTCAGGTTTGCCAATTTATCAGGGGCATGGAAGAGGTCAAGTAGGGTGTTGGTGATTTTATAGATGGACAACAATGGTCGTAAGACAAACACAATGTGTGGTTGTGAAACATGGCGTAGAAGTGCGGTTATTGATTGGGGTGATAATGGCTAGATTTCATGTGTGTTGCCAAAGGCAAGTGTGATGCAGTCGAGGTGATTGAGCCTAGAGGAGATTGGTGACTAAGCCTAGAGATTGGCTTTCAAACCAAATAAGGAACCATAGGAGACTAGCAGGCGATCCAACCTTATATTCAAGGGCAATTTACCAAAGGCAAGGGTGATGCAGTGGAGGTGAATGAGCCTAGAGAAGATTGGTCACTGAGCTTAGAGATTGGCTTTCAAACCAATTAAGGAACCAGAGGAGACTAGCAGGCGATCCAACTTTATATTTAAGGGCAATTTACCAAAGGCAAGGGTGATGCAGTGGAGGTGAATGAGCCTAGAGGAGATTGGTCACTGAGCTTAGAGATTGGCTTTCAAACCAATTAAGGAACCAGAGGAGAGTAGCAGGCGATCCAACCTTATATTCAAGGGCAATTTAGGCAATTTGTTAGAGGCATGGAAGAGGTCAAGTGTGGGGTTGGTGATTTTTTATATTGATAATGGTGGTCGTAGGGTGTAAGGTGTAGCTGTAATGTATATTGTATAAGTGTGGCTACTGATTGGGGTAATTGTGACTAGATTTCATGTGAGATGCCAAAAACAGGGGTGATGCAGTGGAGGTATCTAAGCCTAGAATTGATTGGCTTTCAAATCAACTAATGGAACAGAGTTGAGTAGCAGAGGATCCAACCTTATTGTCAAGGGCAATGTATCAAATGACAAAAACGGGTTGCCCTCAGGTTTGCCAATTTATCAGAGTCACGGAAGAGGTCAAGTAGGGTGTTGGTGGCTCTATACATGGACAACGATGGCCGTAGGATAAGCATAATGTGTTGTTGTGGCTCATAATGTAGGCGTGTGGTTGTTGTTTGGGCTGAATGTTGCTAAATTTCATGTGGGTTGAGAAAGGCAAGGGTGATGCAGTGTAGGCATCCGAGCCAAAGGAGAGTAGCAAGTGATCCAACCTTATTATCGAGGACAATGCATCGAAGGGCAAAGGTGAAGGTACAAATTAGTTGCGAAAATCAAAATTACTAATAAATAAAATATTAATTTATGATCATTATTAGTTCGGGCCAATGGGGTCACTGGCTTACAATGCCCCCACTGTGATTCCACCCATCTATAGAAGTAGTTTAGCTGTGAAGGTTAGCTTTGCATAGTTGAGATTGATGACCCGCTGTCAGGACACAAGCCCATGGTGCCCTCACTGAATCCACCCATATATAGAAGTATAGTTAAGCTATGATGGTTAGCTTTGCATATTTTGAAATTGATGATCCACCATCAATCAATGTATATCCCTGTATAATTGTTTTAAAAGAGTAATTTGGCATGGAATGGTAGAAAAGTTGAAGTACTTTTGGTTTGCACTATTTCATGAATAACAAGTAACCTGTAGCGATCACCAGCTACTTGTTTAGGTGGTTTGATATCTACAATGAAGGTTTAAGGTTCAAATTCTAGCAAAGTTCTTCCCCCAAAAAAAGAACTACAGTTAATTTATAAGGTAGGCATTTAAAATAGTTGGAGACTCTACAGACAGTTATAATCATGAACATGGTCATCTTATCTGCCAATTGAATCGTTTTGCTGACTCGCTTTCCTTTGATTAATTAGCAGAAATTGTGCGTTGTATTAGTACAAGGAGAAGAGTTTCGATGCATACAATCCTTTGAAGCTAAAAAAAGGATATAGGTAACTTATGAGCGATGGTTTTCTTGGTTAGGATGCTTAAACTTTCTAATCGAGCTGAGCAAATCAGTAAATACACCTATCCAAGCAAAGCCATCCCATAGGCTTGCTGGGTTGACCATTTGCTCAATGCTATGAGAGCTAGTGTTTTGCATGCTAAATTCTTCAATTGCTTTAAGAAGCTCATGTCCTTCTAACCTTCGATGAATGGTCATATGGCTACATGGACTAAGATTTAGCTTTGAGAATTTTTAGTCTTCAACATTTAGATTTTAGTGACATCCTATAGTCAGTATTATTTAAATATAAAATAGCATGCTTGTTTAGGTTCTGTGTAGATTTATAAATTTTGATTCTTCTTTACACCGATTATAACTATATATAACTTCTTTTTAGCCCATACACATGGTTTCGTTAGATTTCCCATATTAATAATATTTATTTATTATTTTTTTTTAAGGTACGTTTGTTTGAGTTATGTGAGAACTTGATAGTTGATGTTCTTAATTCTTTCCCATTCAGTTGGTTTTGATTTAGCTTCTTTTTTTTGCTTTTATTTGTTGTTGAGTATCATATTTTCTAATTTACCTAGCAATTATCAATCTACTTTTGCAGGTCACTGAAGATCAAAAACTTATTAGAGAGAAAGTAGAGCATTTGTGTGGAAATGAAGGACTTCGCCGCATGGAACGTGCATTGTCAGAGACTAGGTCTAAATTCTTTGAAGCAAAGGAGAGTGTTACCCATTTAATTGGTCATGTTGCTCAGCTTTCATCACCAAATAGCTCGAGTTCATCTGTGAAACCGGTGGTGGATCCCGCCTCCAAGGAACATTTTATTGAGAAAAAGGGGAGTTCCAGTAATGCTGCACGTTCTTTATTTGGACGCACTTCATCACAGACATTTCCATGTTCTCAATCAAATTCCACAGTAGCTGGGCAGCTAGCTTCAGAGAATGAACTTCTTGTAAATGAGATTGTTCATAATGGTCAAATTAGTTTTGCCAATGATTTGGATATTGCAACTACATATAGAAGCGACATAAAGGTTGGTATTGTAAAACTCGTCAAGTATTTAAAATGTTTTAGAACAAAGCAATGTCAAATCCATTCAATAAGTTATGATAATCTGATTTAAGCAACAGGTTGCGCCATCAATGAATCAACGTAGAAAGCATATAAAAAATTAGTAAATTTAGCCATTCTAGGCTGAAGATGCTAATAAAACAGATTAATCTTCAACTTTTGAAAAAAGAAAATTCAATCTTGGTCAAGTTAGTTCTTGGAACATTCTTTCTTTAATTTGTGATATGATCTTACTAAATTGTAGAATGCCTTTCCTTATAATTACATCTAACAGAGTGTGGTAGAGGCTTAAGAAAGGACATTATGCAATTTAGGGATGATTATTATTTCTATAAATTAAAAATGAAATGTTCCTTAACTAATAAAGTTGATCGAGATTGAATTCTCATCCTTCAAAAGAAAAAGTCGAATATTAATTTTTCCTAGTCAACTTTCAATAAGTTTATTAGTTTTACTATTTTTCAGCTGAAGATTGGCTAATTTTACTAGTTTTCTTAGATGCTTTCTACAATAGTTGACCCTTGATGTAACCTGTTGCTGAAATCTGTTTGCATTAACTTAGCTGAAGGGATTTGACTTCCTTTGCTCTGGACATTTTACAACATTTCCTGCTTATTTCATTTATTGAATTGGCATGTTTAATGTGTTTCATGCTTTTGCCCTCACCTTTTGTTCACTTACAACTTACAGGAAAAAGTTAAGGTGACCATGGAGAAGGCATTCTGGGATGGGGTTGTGCAATCTATGAAGGAAGATTCTCCTGACTATGATCGTATCATAGGACTTGTAAAAGAGGTGCGGGATGAACTAAGTGAGATGGCTCCTCTCAGTTGGAAGCAAGAGATTCACGACAGCATAGATATTGATATTTTATCCCAGGTAAAATTTGCTAGGTGGGAAGCCTTATTATCTAATAATTATCTATTGGAACTTTATGCAGTTTATATTTATAATAAGTATCTTTTGGAAATATATACTTGTAATTAATTTTTAGTGTCGTTGAGGTTTTTCCATAGTTGGGATAAGGCTGGTAATCCATCCATATGCTGTAAAGATTGTGATTTTATCTTGGAAGCTCATGTATTATCATGTTTCAATGCGGATTTATTGGTGTTGTTGCATTAAATCTTCTAGGTGGTTATGATGAGCCTGATCTTAGCACAACTAAAAATGAAACTTTAGCATTATTTCTATATGTTTATACATATATTGATTCTTTTATTTATTATAGGTGATGAAATTAGGAACTCGTGATAGAGATTATCTTGGAAGGATTTTAGGATATGCTCTACTTACATTACGGAGATTGTCTGCTCCTGCAAATGAGAATGATTTGAAAAAGTCTCATGAGAAGTTATTGAATGAATTGGCTTCAAAAGCGCACTCTGATGATGAAATAGAAAGCTCTTTTGCTATTTCGATGATTAAAGGTCTTCGCTTTGTTCTGGACCAGATCCAGGTAATTCCTTACTGCGGGCTAATCTATGGATTTGCCTCTTGAAGCTGTGTATAAATTTTGTATGATAAATACTTCTGCATAATTGGTATATTCATGAGGACGGATATAATGTTATGCACACTACTCCTTTGTGGGGAACTTGGTGAATGCAATTTTTTAAGAATTTGAGCAGAAGAAGATGCACTCGATTTCTTCATATAAGTCTCATTTTTTTATGAATTATATATTATTGTTCATTGCTAGCCTCATCACCACTATTTGGGTTAGGCTTGTGCATGTAATTTTTATCATTATTTCAAATTTCACCATACAGGTGCATCCAGTAATGGCTGTAATTTTTATCAGTTATTTGAAATTTCACCTTACAGGTGCACCTTGTAATGGGTGTAGTTACATGCCCAAACTACCTGATTGGTAGAACCATTTTGTAATTTCGTTACACGCCCAAACTACTTGAAGTCTACATAAATTTATAAATATAATTCTTAGAATTCTATTTTATGGTTCATTGCTTATCATTGCTACCATCATCACAACTATTTGGGTTTGCCTCATGTATTTTATTCCTATCACAGGCATTCCATTTTGCATCCATACATGGGCATCTTACAATCTCATTTTGACATGCCCAAATTATCAATTATATTTCTCAATTCCTGTTGCAACGTGCTTGTACTACTTGATTTTGTTTTTTTATACTTTTTTATAATTTTTTTTAATAAGCACCACTTTCACACACTATAGTAATTTTGCACTCTATAATCCATCTTAACTTTTTCATTTTTGGCATACAATTTGGTTGTAGTATATTTATACAAAATCTATAAGCTAACATAATATTCTGATAATCATTTTATTAGTGCTTTTTCTTTTCTCGTGTCTTTGCTCATCTTCATACTGTAATTCTCCATAATATTTTGTGCACCTTTATCTCTTAGCCAACTAACTTGTTCTTTGATTAGATTTGTGTAGGGTTGTTATTTCTCTTTTTTTATTTACTTGCTTTTTCTGTTCTTCCTGACGTCTTATTGTTTTAATGCTTGTGCAAGAAAATGCCTTGTAAAATGCCTTGTATGCTTGTTTTAAGACTCTTCTTCCTTCTGCTTGCCAGACACTGAAAAAAGAAATTAGCAAGGCACGCATTCAATTGATAGAACCGATCATAAAGGGGTCTGCTGGTTTGGAATACCTGCAGAACGCGTTTCATGATCGTTATGGTCTATCCTCTACGGCTGCTGATACGCTCCCTCTAACAAAACTGTGGTTATCACCTTTGAAAATCATTGCGGATGAAGAATGGAGTGAATATGTTGACTCTATCTCTCTATTGCCTGAGAGTCATGTAAGAACCATTTTTTTAATTTTAAATTATCTTCAAACATATGTATTGAATTTTGTGAATTATTATTATTGTTTAATGTAGACTTATTAACTATTGCTTATCTTTTTGGCAGACTCTTCCTCTTCCTCCTACATCTCTTCGAACAGGTGGCAAAATGCATCAGGCTCATATGCAGTCTCTTCATCCTACCGAAAAACCAGGTGCATATAAGAGTTTTTGCGTCTTGAAAGCACTATCAGTCTTTTCACAACAATTTAGATCCTATCCTCTTTAGTTGATTGATGCTAATGAATTTGAAGCAACAATGGATTTGAAGCAACGATGATTTTTTCTTCCCATGTGCATGAAAAATGTGATTTACTTATGCTTCTATATATACAGAGATTGGGTAAAAAGCATGCGCACGTGCTGACTTATCCCTATATTTTTATACTATGTTATCGTCATCATCAAGATTATCATCATTACTATTTATTTTTGTTTTATGGGGCGAAGGGTCTAAGAACAATGGGAAGCACACCGTTCACTAGGCTCCGTTTTCATATTAGCCATTGAAAATGCTTTGGAAATCATTAGTAATGTGTTTTTCAAGGAAAAGTTTGTTTATATATGCCATTTTTTTTGGTATATTTCAATTATCCCAATCCATTTCAACTGACTTCTTTGTTGTTGATAAAAGCAATGACTCGTGAAGCTTCAATGTACTAGCCAATATCTGTTTCTTTTGATAATTTTGTAATTGATTCTAGGTGATTTGCTTCAAATAAGCATTCTATTTGCAATATGCTGATTCCATCATTCATGTTCGTCCTTTATTTGTAGGAGCAGTTGATGGACAACTAAAATGCAGTGGTGAAAAGCTTGATGTGTTGTTGAGGCTTGGTTTGCTAAGGCTCGCAAGCAGCGTTGAGGGACTGATCACTGATACGATTCCAGAAACTTTGAAGCTAAATGTGCTGCGATTGAGGTCTCTTCAGAGCCAACTTCAACAAATTATAGTCATTTCCACAAGGTAACAATTTTGATAAGAATCTGCACTGGTAAACGGTCTCTCCCTCTCTCTCTCTCTCTCTCCCTATCTTCACACAATTAACCCAAAAGCAAAGACAATGGGATGGAGGAAGGAACTCAATGGGAAGAGTGAGAGTTGGTGGGAAAGATAAAATTTAGTTTTGGTTTTTTTTAGGGGGTTGGTAGGGGTTCTCAATTACTGAGATTTCGCTTGAGTTTGTGATATCTAAAGGAATTATACTCCCTTGAAATTCACTATAGTTATCTTGTGCGGTGCACTTTTTGGATTGCAAGAGACTACATACATGTTCAAGTATTATTATTATTATTTTTAAATGCAAGATATTGAATATTAACTCTGTTATGCAACCGATCAATGGCAACAATTTAAAGTCTGAATTGACTAACTCCTATTTGCAATGCAGTATGTTGGTTCTCCGTCAAGTTGTGATCAGTGATGGTTTGTCGCTCTCTTTATCAGAGCTGGATTCAATAATATCCACCTCTGTAAACAACCTGTTCAAGCTTCTAGACAATGTTCCGGACGTGAGCATGGAAGAGATTGTTGAAACAATAGCCAACTCATTCCCAGAAGAAGATAAACTCCCAAGCAGAAAGCAGCTGATGGCAAGGCTGGTAATCAAGAGCTTAGAGAATGACGATCCAGTGTTCGCAAAGGTAAGCCGCTCCATCTATCTGGCAACTCGTGCCATTCTGTTTGCCGGGAATGGGCCCCGCGGGTGCAGACTCGCACAAGGTATTCTGCAGAAAGTGGGAGCTGCTATGCTATTAGACAGAGTGGTGAGAGTTGCAGAGGTGCTGATTATTATGGCCACAGTCTCCCTGCAAGTTCATGGCTCTTGGTACCAGTTCTTGGTTTGACGATAACAAGAAACTATAAATAATTCTTCTTTGTGTATAGAAAATGCTAAATAGACAATCAATAATAAATTCAGGGTGTGTGCTGTAAAGGATACAGACCTGTAAAGTTTCTGTCTCTGAAATGTCTATGTAGGTTGAAGTGTTCATTTATAATATTTGTATTTAGCTTTTTAGAATTATTTTATGTAGGTCTTTCCCCGTGTTTTTTTTTTTTTTTTAAATTTTATTCAGATTACAAACAAATCATAAATTTTATTCAGATTACAATTCAGATTACAAACAAATCAGTATCTGTTGATAATTGTTATGTTCGTTATGTTTGTGGAAGTTTGTGTATATTTTTATGGAAATGAATAATTTATTGTTTTACACAATAATTTATCGGGGCATTTACAGAACACACTGCCCAATACTCATGTATTTACATATCTAAAACTTGATCTTTTACTTTTATATCACTCAAAAAAATATCATTATTTTAAATTCTAGAGAGTGAGCGCACCATTTTATACACACCCTGAATACATAAATGTGGGCATATATGTAAAAATTGAAGTTTTTTTTGTTGTTAGAAATATAAATACATAGGAATTAACTGGTATGTTTCTAGATCTTCCTAATTTATTTTATGTCAGTCATTTCATTTTCATGTAAATAATAATGATCGTTGGCTTTTTTGGTTGGAAATACTGGTATGTATAAATTTTATGAAGATTGTTAAAATTTAGTGTTTCAAGAATCCCTCATCAATGAATTTAAGGGTGTTAAAATATTTTTGGCATGGTGAGTTTATATATATATATAATAGAATGACCATTAAAAATATAAAAAAATATATAAATATTATTGTTTTTAATTAGATTTTAAATTTAGTCATTACTTTATAAGTTAAATTTTAAGATATTTTAATGCAGATTACCCAACAATTAAAATTGAGAGATACATTTCAGAATGTAATGAGAATAACTTGATTTGGATTGGAATTTTATTCATTTTATATATTTTAATTTAAGCAAAAAAATATTTATCTTCGATATAGAAATCTTACATAGTTTTTTTGAGGACATTTACATAAATATCACACAATTCTTTTATATTTAAATATCAGACAACTAAAATTTATATTTGCATTTTTAACATTGTGGTGTTGTAAGACTATGCATAAATTTGTGTATTTAACATTTTTATAAGTAAATAACAGTGGTATTTTTTATGCGATGATAAAGAATTTAATGCACATAAATATAAAAAGGGACATTTACATACATAACACACAATTTATATATATTTGCATATCTTGCATCTCAACTTTCATAATTACATCCATAACAGTTAAATCCTTAAAATTACATAAAGAATACCACAATTACTTTTTAAATGAAATAAATCTCTTCATACATAACTCTACACAAGAAAGCGTTACAAATATAAATATGAAAGTTTATATATTTGGATAAAAAAACACAAAATATGTTGGATATTATTTAGCGAGAACTAGGGGTGTAAACGAACCGAACACGAACGAACAGAGCTTGTGTTCGTGTTCGGTTCGTTTGAAATTTAGTTTGTTTGAAATAAGTTCGTGTTTGAAATTGTTCGTGAAGTCAGTCACTG